GTTAATTTTTACATTTTCAGCCAACCTTTTTTTCATACATCCTTTTTGATGTCCTAATTTCCTGTTTCACCAACTTTTTTGATCTTCTATAAGCTTCTAAATCTTCCATCTTACCAGTAAATTTATATTTCTTAAATTTTTGGTACTTCTCTTTAATTTTATCCTTTAAGCCCTTTGTGAGTCAACCTGGTTTTTTACTTGCAGCTACCCTTTTTTTTCTATAAGAAATATGTTTAACCTGAATCTTTAAAAATTTTCCACATCTGATCAGTGTCTCTAAACAACTCAGCTGCCCAATTTACAACAGATAATTCTTGTCACATCCCTTCAAAATTAGGTTTTTTGAAATTTGCAACCAAAATATCATTATTTCTGATCTCCATATGCAGCAAAACATCGAAAGCCTAATAGCACAATGATCACTTGCACCCAGATGTTTCACAATTTCCACCCTCTCAACCATTTCTATATTTGAAATTAACAATAAATCTAAAATAGCATTGTTTCTAGTAGGTTCTTTGACCAATTGGTGAAGAAGGCCATCTTTAAACAGTTTCCAAAAACCTTTCTCCCTCATGGTTTGACTAGCATTTCCCAAACTATATGCTTGAAATTAAAGTTACCCATAATTATGATCTCATTAACAGCTTTAATATTAATCTCACTGTAAAGTTTCTCACTAATTTCATCAGTATTATTTGGTGGTCTGTTACAAATTTCCACTAAACGCCTTTTCCCTTTATATCTGCTAATAGAAACCCAAATGGATTCAATTTTCTTGCTGTTATCTTTGATATCCTCAAATTCAACAGGATGTGACTAACATTTTACATATAAAGCCACTCCTATCCTTTTCTTTAATGATCTATCCCTATTAAATAGCCTGTAACCCTATATTTAAAAAAAATTCTGTCATCAAAATCATCTTTGTTTAACCATGTTTCAGTCATTTCCATTATATCAAAATCCTCCATTCCTATCAGTGCCCTAAATTCATCTGTTTTAGTTCTTATACTTCTGGCATTACAATAATTAAGTCTACCCTTAAAACTGCTTCTATACTCATTTACTATGCAAAACTTTTCTATACATCTTATTGTTTTTGCAATTAGTTTATCCTGGCCTTCACCACTATCTAGTTCTAGTTTAAAGCTTCTGTTACAGCTGAGTTAATAGCCCTTGTAAACAAGCCATACTCTACTTAAATGTAATCCATTCAGTCCAAAGAGCTCCTTTCTCCAATTGAACTGATCCCACAAGTCCAACCAGCCAATCTGCTCAGCCTTACACATTATCCTAAGCCTAGCATTTAGCTCTAGTGACCTACTTATAATTTCACGCCCCACATTTAATTCTCAGCAGTATCCCTGACACAATTAAGTTATGGCCTCTTTCTTTAAATGCCTTTATTAACCCCTTGTATGTACTAATTAGCTCCTCTGTCCTATCTTTCCCTACATCATTAGCCCCTACACCACAAAAACTGCATTTCTGCTAGCCCCCTTTATTGTATCTCCTGTTGTATCTCTGTTACATCCTCCACCTGTGCCTCTGGGTAGCATAATCTAATTCTTTTCTCCCTATTTACCACACAGACTATCCTATCCATATGCCTTTTCAAGGAATCAGTACAACTATAACCTCAAGTTTATCATCCACATCCTTCTCTGACACTTTTGTTATCCTTCCCTCCAATTGTTCCTCATCTGCACAAACCAAGAGCTGAAATCTGTTGCTCAATAGATTAGGCTTAATACAATTAACTCCACTACCTTTAGCCTTAATAGTACTCTAACTTCCTGAAAGTCATTGTTAGCTGATGTATCCCTTGTATGTAAAACTTTTAAGCTACTCTTGAAATCCTGCTGCTGTTTCCCACTTCTCTTTGTCTGTTGCCTCTACTTTAATTAGGATAGCCTTCAACTTCTCCTCCAACCTACAAACTCTACATATAAATTGCACATCTTCACAACTACTAGCTTGCTTAAAAGTACATACCAGTCCCAAGTTCCCAAATAAAACCCCCTTATTGCACCCATCACACCTAACAAATTCAGCATGCTTAACAACATATTTTTCTTAACCACTGTTTGTAGCCTGGAAATAAATACTAAATACCAGTAGCCTATTGCCAACACTGTTAAGCCTAATATTTAAGAATAAAATATATTAGTTTTTTTATATATATCACTAGTTTATGTTCACACTAAAGTAATTAAGTAATCCAGTGGTGGGATTCAGCCGGTTCGCACCGGTTCGTGCGAACCTGTTCTTAGAATTTAATGACCTCCACGAACCGGTTGTTAACAATCGTATGTATAGGCCTAATAATAACGTTACAACGCGTGTTTACAACGCAACTTTACTAGCAGGCT